AATAGATTAATATATATATATATATGTATACACACACACGCACACACACTTTCAAGGATTTCTCTGTTGAGAAGTCTGTCCTGGACTTGCTTAGTAGAGAAGTCTGACTTGGAATTCAGAGATCTTTATGTCTCTGCCTACCAAGTACTGGAATTAAAGGTGTAAACCACCGCTACACAGCTTATAACTGATTATTTTTGAGATGATCTCAGCGATTACTTACAAAAGGCAGAAAAGATAAAAGATGATTGGAGTAATCTCTAACTATAAAACATTGCCAATACACAAAAGAAAAAATAAGGATGTTGGTCTGCAAGAAAGTATGAGGAAATAATCAGGTAGAAATCATAAGAAATGGGCAAGTTTTGCCTTTGATTTCTTTGGATTTAGGACTGATGTAGTGAGCTGAGTCAATAACACAATATGATTTTATCTGAGTCTTGAATTTTTTTCTTCTTGTTTTATTACGTTAGAAACAAGCTTGCTTCATATGTCAATCATAGCTCCCTCTCCCTCCCCTCCTCCTCTGTCCCCACCACCAGGCCCCCAGTCCCCCAATCAATCTGCACTCTGATCCCCAGGGAGGGTGAGGTCCTCCATGGAGGATCTCCAGAGTCTGTCATTTCATCCAGGGCAGGGTCTAGGCCTTCCCCCAAGAGTTCAGGCTGAGAGAGCATCCCTCATTGTGGGATGGGCAGCCAAAGTCCATTTTTATGCCAGGGATAAATACTACCCAAGACCCCATAGATTACCTAGGCCTCCTCACTGGCACCCATGTTCAGGATGTCTGGATTAGTCCCATGCTTTCCACACAGTCATCAATTTAGGGTCCAAGAGCTCCCCCTTGTTCTTGAAATTTTAGTAAAGTTCATACAAACAACATATTAGTTACTGATGTTGTATATAGAATTACTACTCTGTAAAACAATAAAACTGAAGTACAATAACCAAAAGAACTACAGAAGCTTATAGTTTTAGAACGGCATGATCTTAATTGAGAATAGTATTGCAGGTAGTAATATTATATGTAAGACGGTTCTGTAAGCCCATGTGTTTTAGGTATAGAAGAAAATAAATCATGTGACTTTCTAATTTACATAATATGTAATATTCATTCAATAGACAGAATTATTTACCATAAATGATTTTTGGCTAGAAACTATGGAGAGGCTTATTCTCCTTGTTATCTGTAAGTTGGTTTGTGATAAGAGTAACTGTAAGCATATGTCTATTATGACACAGAAAATTAGGAACCACATAGAAAGAATCAAGGGGCTAGTTAAATCAGACACAAAAATGACTATGAAAAATTAATATCAGTTTCCACTGTTTAGAATAATCCCGCTTTCCTCTCTATGTCCTGTCTTAGAGCCAACAACCATCCAGATGGTTTTAGGTCTTTGGGACTTGACATTATTTAAAAGGTCACCACAGGCAAATTATAATGGGCAACTTGTTCTTATCAGAGAGCAAACATCTGTGATCCTGCTCCAGTTTTGAATCACCAGTGGACCAGGTTCCCAGGGCAGCCCTTGCCAACTCTCTTTCCATGTGAACTATGTACACTACTTCATTTTTCTATTAAAAATTGTCACTTGCATTACATAGAGGGTACAACAATGCTCTGAGAATGCTGTCATTCAAATTTGAGCAAAAAGAAATGAGATTTTTGACTTGGAAACATGACATAGATTCATATAATGGTGTTAACATTCAAGAAATGGCCCCTGGGAGAGGTATAATTTCCCCAGTATACCAACAGTATATAGAAGCAAACTTAGAATTACTATGATACTTTAAAAGAATAAGCTAATAGATAAATAAGCTAGCCTACTTGCAGTATTTCTGAATGTTTAATTCTGTGGTTCAAAGGCTCTTTTCTTATTCAACATTAGAAAACAAAAAATGCTTTAAATTATTAGTTCAGTGGATAATCCTATTATCCTCCAGGGTTCTCCTCTCTCTCTCTCTCTCTCTCTCTCTCTCTCTCTCTCTCTCTCTCTCTCTCTCTCTCTCTCTCTCTCTCTCTCTCTCTCTCTCTCTCTGTCTGTCTCTCTCTCTCTCCCCCTCTCTCTGTCTGTCTCTCTGTCTCTCTCTGTCTCTCTCTCTCTCTCTCTCTCTCTCCCACACACACACACACATACCTTCTTTTTCTTGTATAGAGGCATTTTAAAATGCAGATGTTATGGAGAGAGGCAGAATAGTAAAAAAATGCTTTCCATTTCATCATCTAGATGTTTGCTTTAACCCTGCCAAGTCAATAAGAACTAGGAATAATATTGAATAATCAGAGACCATTAATTAGGAAAGAAAATCTAAGTTGTGTTCATTAGATGTTTTATACTTAGCAAATTGAATCATTTTTTTCCTTCCATATATCCACTCCCACACTTATAGGAACCCTAATCATCAGTAGGTTCTTGTTTTTAACTTTATCCTTACACTTACTGTCTGGATTCTTGGCTGGGTTTGTGTTAATTAACTACCTAAAAACTTGTGAAAATATACTAATATTTACTTAGGCTCTTGTCACATTATCATACTTTCTTGATATAGACAGTTTACCTACTTGACATTTGAGAATAACTCATATTCCGTGTATTGGAGTAAGTACTATAAAATTAAGTCATAGAATTCTTAAGTATCTTTAACTATTTCTTGATTGCAATTGAAAAATCTCTAGTGACAGAAAGTTTGAGATGATGCCAATTATTTTGAACATAAAAATGATTAGATTACTAATGGGCTTTTGTTCACATGGATAAGGGAAATGGATAACAGAGGTGTGTGTGAATGACTTGTATTAATCCATACATATTTTATGCATTCTCATTACAATTCTAAATTTTAATGTACCTATGCAAAGGTAAGTGAGACTTCTCTAATAATGTCTGAGTTTTTAATAAGGATAACTAACTTCCAAATTTAAAGAGTTAAATGAATATTTGATGCAGAAAGTTAAGTTTATGCAAATGTTATTAGTATAAAACATTCCTGACTACCTCAAATGGTAAACTATTCTTTTAGCACCAGAAGATAACTTGATTAGTTAATATGTATATTGTAACTCACCTTGTCCAACTTTTTAAATCACTACAAAATTAACTTTATAACAAAGTGAAGAATTGTGTTTATATATGTATTTTCGTGGGGTGTTGTGAATGTGCTTGGAGAGCCTAGTAAGCAACTTTGGGTAACATCTCTTTTGATACTCTGTATCCCATTGTACTGGTATTCACCAATTTAGCAATCCAGGGATCCTCTTATCTCTGACTCCCAGGGAGATTACATGTGTACAGAATCCTGGTTCAGCATTTATGTGGATGTTGGTGATCTTAGTCAGCTTGCCATAACAGCTTTACTGAATAATATATTACATGGATCCTATTGTTTCAAAGTCCCCAAGAGTGACACAATGCTTGTCTATATATAGTAAAGTTTGTCATTTTAAAAATCACTGCTATATTTTTTACTAAGGCATATTTGTCTCAAGTACAATCTGATATACATTTTCCATGGTTTTAGTTTTTATTGGTTACCTTTATCACAGTTGTGATCAGAATATAACAAGAAAAAATTTAAGAAAGAAAGGTTTGTTTCGGCTGTTTCTATTAAATACAACCCATCATGCAGGGAAGACAGGATTATAAAGTGTCTGGTGATGTTTGTCCTCAGTCAAACACAGAGAGCAATGAGTGTTTTGCTCCATTCACTTTCTCTTTGTCTCTCTCCAAGACTGAAGCTCATGAAATAATGTCACCAATATCTGGGTTGGGGGGAATCTTCCCTCTTTGTTTAATCCTTCCAGAAGTACCCTCATGAACACATCAAGAAATGGGTTTCTATGATAACTGTTAATCCAGTTAAATCCAGAATTAAGATTAGTCATCATACAGTCTGAAACAATCACATTTGACCACTATTAACTCCTCTTAGAATGAAAGCTCACCTTTTGTATGCTGTGGGTATGTTTCTATTATTGGTTGATGAATAAATGCTGATTGTCCAGTAGTCAGGCAGGAAGTATAGGTGGGGATACCAGACTAGGAGAATTCTGGGAGGAGGAAGGCAAGGAAGGAGAATTCTGGGAGGAGAAAGACAAGGAGAGTGAGTTGCGAAAGAGATGCCATGTAGCCACCAAAGGAGTGACAGATGGGTAAGTCACACAGACTCATAGCAATATATAGTTTAATAGAAAATGGGATAATAATTAAGAGAGCTAGCCAATGAGAAACCTGAGCCATTTATCAAATAGTTTATAATTAATATAAGTCTCTGAATGTTTATTTGAAACTAAATGGCTTCAGGACATGGTGGGACAGAAACTCTATCATCAAAAGAGCTTTAGTGATAGCTAGCAACCTATCATTTATCTGTTCATAATACCAGCTTCAAGGCCATAAAAGTAGATTATATTTTGCACAGTAAAAAATGAAAAAGTTTATTTTCCCTATCATGTGGACATTTTTCTATTCAAGGAGGCCATTCCCCATCTTTCAGGGGGTATGCTGGGTAAGAAGACTTCAAAATCGAATTAAGTGCTTGAATGGCCTGGTAGAAGTGTAAAAGATGCAGCTAAATAGTAGCATGACTAGACTGTTTACATCTTAACATTTTGTGAAAAACACCTATGCTTGTCTTTTAAAAAATAAAACGACTAAATCTACTACCACTTAGAGAGTAATTTTAATTTAGTTTTAAGAGATGTATTTGTAGGAGGAAAACAATGCCGCCATTAACCATGTGACTTACTAGAGGCGCATACAGATGAGGTAATAGAAGAGCAGTTTACCACACCACTAACCACACCCATTTTAAGCATGACTAAAGATGTGTACGGACGGATGTAAAGACATATATGGATGTAGGCGGTGAACTATGTCACTAGCCAGGCCCACTTTTGGGCATGGCTAGGGACGTTACGGTGGAAGGTATAAAAGACTGAACAACGGAAATCTTGGTCTCTTTTTCTGGATTTCGGCTTCCAGTTCGGCAGCGGAAAACTACTCGGCTCATCTGGGTCACTTGTTTGGTATCTTGTGAGTAATTTCTACGATAAATACTCAGTTTTACTTTCAATAAGTGTGCCGTTTATCGTTGCAGCATCATGTATTAATTTATTTCACTTGTGTAAGTCTTTTGCCTGCGTGTATGTGTAAGTAGCACTAGTGTGCAAAGCCTAGGAAGGTGAGAAGAGGCTTTCAGATCCTATGGAATTGGAGTCAAAATGACTGCGAACCACCATGTGAGGACTAGCCACTGGAGCAGAGTCTTGTGAAAAAAGCTACGTGTCCTCTCAACTGCTGAGCCAATTCTCCATCCCACTGAAAAGATAAGTTTTAAGGACGAAGATGGTGTTCAAATGGGCTTGCTGCCCTTTTTCCCTCTTCCAACTGAGGTCATGATTGGTTAAGTATAGATTGTAAGAGAAGGAAATCAGAACAGATATCAGATTCCATCTTTAAGGTTTCCCTAAAAAGTCTTCCAAATTAAGGACAGTCATTGGACACAGCCTACATCTTTGTAGGTGCATATTAATATTAATAATCTGGGATTTGTCCACTTTTATAATAAATTTAGACATTCATCTAACCCTTGAAACAAGCATTTTTGTGCTTATACATTAATAAGTAGTTTTGAATGAATAAAAACAGTTTTCTTTATTAATTCCTTATGTGTTATGCTTTTGAACTCTTTAGAAATATGACTTCATTCATTGAAAGAGGCTGAATCAGTTTCCTCCATGATTGAACTCTGCAATTTGAAAACAGGCAGGTTACTGCATGTTGATAATGACAATCACTTACATAGCAAGACCTTTTTTAAGTATTTGGCATCCATTCAAATAGATCTTCAAATCTGATTTTACCAAAAAAATCATGAATAGTTACATAGCAATATACATAGTATAATGACCTAGGAAGTTTTATCATAGTATTAATAAAAATACAGTCAAGAATATTCTGGCATACTATAGATGCTTGATTAAAAGCAAAAATACATTGTTTTATATATTATTAATTTTGTTGTTTACAGGAAACAAATGACTCACTGTTATGCATAATTCATAAAGTATTTTTCCCTTTTTAAGAAGGAAGATGATATTTGAACCTTTGTGATCCAATGAATTTTGGGAAAACTGAGTGATTATTGTTCGTCTTTATCTTCTTTATTTCTTCTACCCTCCCTCTGTCTGTCTCTCTCTTTCTTTTTCTTCCTCTCTTTTCTTCCTCCCTTCCCCTTTCTTATCCTTTGCATCCTCTATCTCCACATCTTCCTTTACATCCTTCTCTGTGTTAGAAATTGAATTCATGGTCCTTTAAACACGTATAAAACATACACACCTTAGCAAGCAGCTATACTCCAGACTCAGATTAATTTTCTTACCATAATTTTCTATCTTTAAAATACTAAATTATCATGTCTCTCTCTGTCTCTTGTGGGTGGTAGAGAGAAAGAGAAATTCAAAGATTCAAACCACTCAATTATGTAGTTTCATTTTTCTTGAGGATCTTCAAGAGTAAGTTTCCACAGAACATGAATTTTGAAATAAATATACATGTTTCTCAGGTTACTCTTGAAGTTTCAAGTCTTTCATGAGGTACTGATAGTCACCAGTGAGTATATTAATGATATCTGACTGGACTGATGCTAAGATACCTCAAATAAACAGTTCATGCCCTGGTTTCTGTATATACTCTGCCTTGACTTTCTTTTTTCCAATTCATGGAAGAAATGTATTATTAAGATCATCTTTATTATTTAAAAAGAAATTCTTGTCTTTCCCATGAAAGAAAAAAGCTTTATTTCTACACTGAAATTATACCAGGTTGGAACTGTACTTCATAAAATACTTACAGTCTTGATTAAATTAATCTTTATAATAACAATATTCATCATCATTATTATTTCTTTAGAAAGAAAAATGACTTCTGGGTATTCCTTGACTAATCCCATATACCACTACAATATTTGGGTTTTAAAGAAAATGCATTAGGTGTTTCCTAGATCATATCCCTAGACATCGGAGAACTTCATTAAATACAGAAGCCCTCTGTAGCCTTACCTCCCACTGGTTTAATATAGAAAAGCTTGTACTAGGTACAGAAATTATATTTACATTTTCAAACTCACAATTACATTGCATAATATTCAAGAAAACTTGAGGTCACCTCAAGTTATTTATTGGGATTCAACTTCTCTTTTTTTCTATTTTTCTGATTTCAGTTATGAAAGGAACTGAGTAGAATCAAGAAATATAGAAAAACATTTCAAAGTCAGTTTTCAAGCTGGCACCCAATACTAGAGAGAAAAGATGATGCCACTGAATGCTACACTAACATGAACTCTAGAGATCTCATGATGCTTCACAAGATAGGCAAGCAAAAGCTATCAAAAAGAGTTATATGTTGATGAATACAGGAGAAAGCCCTGTGAGTTGCTATGGAAAATGACAGAAAATGTGTAATAGTAGAAATACATAAATATGATTTAAGAAAGAAAGATGAGCAAAAGTCTGGTCTGCTTCAAGACTCTCAAGGAAGAAATGTACATATCTTCAAGAGTCATGATACAGTATCAAATATTTCTCTCGCAAACTTTTATAGTGATTTTACAATTTATTTTTGTAGTTTTTAAAATAAGTTTTGAAATAGTTAAAATGTAATATAAGAATTCTAATTAATTGAGTAAAGCTAGTATTTCTCATACCTATGTGAAAGTTATCGACACTGACAAAGTCTATCCAAAAGATCAAGACAATTTATCAAAGGTTACACCTATGGAGTCATAAAAATATTCTGGTGCTTTGAGCAAAGTACGCCATTTTTGTTTATGATCATAAAATGGAAGCTGTGTTATAATGGGAATTGTACAATCTGAAACTTAAGCTTTTTTATCTCACTTTTCCACAATCTTATTATGCTTGACTAAAAGTAGACGGCATTGTCAGCACTCAAGTGATATAAATATCCTTACTGATCAATTCAGCATGTGGTCTGGTCTTTACTTCATAATGAGAGAGACAGAATGTAATGAGCCTTTCTCTGTCCCACCAGCCAGTTCACAAATAATGATGTAGAGACTTGTTGATTATGAAAGCTTGTTTTTAACTAGCTCTTATAACTTATATTAACCCATTTCTACTAATCTAGGTTCTGTCACATCCTGCTTTCTCCATATCTTCTTGCATCTCTCTATGCCTTGATTATTTTCTCCTACTTCTACTCTCTCCTGGGAAGTTTCACCTATAGCTCTTACCTAGTTATTGTCCATTCAGCTATTTATTAAACCAATCACAGTAACATATCTTCACATAGTGTACAAATATCCCAAAATATTGCCCCCTTTTTTCTAAATCAAAAGGAAAAGTTTTAACTCTAACATAATAAAACTATATATAATAAATAGAACAATTATCAGTTAAGAATTACATTTAAAATACCCCATCCATTTGTATTTGGCATATTTGGAGAAAATATTCTATTATCTATTTTGTCTTGATGAATTTAAAGTTTTATACCTAACCAATTTTCTGTCATAATTTGTATTACCATCCTAAAACTATCTTTTTAGACCTCAAAACATTTTCTTTGGTAAGCAATTTAAGCTTTTATGTTTCTCAACCTTATGCATCTTATATTTCTTATGTAAGTTTTTTCCAAATTTGGTTATAAGGAAAATTGCAAGTATAAAATTAGAACTATCTAGTCTTTAACCCCATTAAAAACCTCAGAAGGATGTAATATTATCTGAGTAAACAGGAAGTGCAGAGCAAGAAGCTTCTAATGATAGAAACAACAGAAACAGCTGGCTTCCTGGACAGTCATCCAAAGTTGCTGTGCAACATTGGAATATCCATCTTCAGCCTACATTCCTAGAATATCTGACAGACTTTTCTGTGAGCAGGAATTTAAAAGGACTATCCTACTTTGTCTTTGCAAAGTTTGGCAGCCATTTTGTTCAATTTAGACAGTATAATGTCAGACTTTGAGGCAAGGGCAGTTTCATCTCCAGTGGTTAACATGGCCACAATGAAGGGAAACTCTATGTGGAGGCTGCTCAATGGCTCCATGTACAGGCAATCTACTTTTTTTTTTATTTTATTTTCCAGTTTAAATTTAGATAAGAAACGAGGTTGTTTCACAAGTCAGTTCCAGGTCCCTCTCCCATTCCCTCCCCTCCTCCCGTGCCCCCCCAACGCCCCCCCCCCCGTTATCCCCTCATTCCCCTAGGGAGGGTGAGGCCCTCCATGGGGGTGTCCATAGTCTGTCATTTCATATAGGGCAGGGCCTAGACCCTTCCCCAAGAGTTCAGGGTGAGAGTGCACCTCACATTGTTCTATGGGAGTCCAAAGTCCGTGCGTATACTTGGGATGGGTACTGATCTGCTGCCCAAGGCTCAATAGATTCCTTAGGCCTCCTCACTGACACCCAGATTCAGGGGGTCTTGATCAGTCCCATGCTGGATTCCCAGGCTGATGCCTGCGATTCAAGAGTTAACCTTTGTCTGGTCAGCTGTTTCTGGGGGTTAAACCAGCCCAGTCTTAATCCCTTTGATCATCAGTCCTCCCTCTCTGTTACTGGCTTTCTTGAGTTCAGCTCAGTACTTAACCAAGGGAGTCTGCCTCTTCTTCGATCAGCCACTAAATGAAGTTTCTGTTTCCCAGACTCTCTGGCCATAGGATTGTAGGCTGGCACTCCCCAGATCTAAGTCTAAAATCCATATATGAGAGAGTACATGTTTCTCTTTTTGTGACTGGGTTACCTCACTCAGGATGGTTTCTTCTAGTGTCATCCATTTGCCTGCGAATCTCATGATTCCATTTTTTTTTCTGCTGAATAGTACTCCATTGTGTAGATGTACCACATTTTCTCTATCCACTCTTCGGGTGAGGGACATCTAGGTTGCTTCCAAGTTCTGGCTATTACAAATAAAGCTGCTATGAACATAGTGGAACAGACATCTTTGTTGTATGAATGGGCATCTTTTGGATATATGCCTAAGAGTGGAGTTGCTGGGTCTTGTGGTAGGTTTATTCCCATTTTTCTGAGGAATCTCCATACTGATTTCCAAAGTGGCTGAACCAGTTGGCACTCCCACCAGCAATGGAGGAGTGTCCCCCTTTCACCACATCCTCTCCAGCATAAATTGTCATTGGTGTTTTTGATTTTAGCCATTCTGACAGGAGTGAGATGGTATCTCAGAGTTGTTTTGATTTGCATTTCCTGGATGGCTAAGGATGTTGAGCACTTTCTCAAGTGCCTCTCAGCCATTTTAGACTCCTCTATTGAAAACTCTCTATTTAGTTCTGCAGCCCACTTTTTAATAGGGTCCTTTGGTGTTTTGGAGACTTGCTTCTTGAGTTCTTTGTAAATTTTGGAGATCAACCCTCTGTCAGATGTGGGATTAGTGAATATTTTTCCCATTCTGTGGGCTGCCTTTTTGTCTTGCTGACTGTGTCCTTTGCTTTACAGAAGCTTCTCAGTTTCAGTAGGTCCCATTTATTAATTGTTGATCTCACTGTCTGTGCTACTGGTGTTATGTTCAGGAAGCTGTCTCCTGTACCAATTCGTTCAAGGGTACCACCCACTTTCTCTTCTAAGAGGTTCAGTGTGGCTGGATTTATGTTGAGGTCTTTGATCCATTTGGACTTAAGTTTGAATCTTTAAAGAAAGAAATTAAAGAAGCCCTCAGAAAATGGAAAGATCTCCCATGCTCTTAGATAGGTAGGATCAATGTAGTAAAAATGGCAATCCTGCCAAAAGCAATCTACAGATTCAATGCAATCCCCATTAAAATCCCAGCACAATTCTTCACAGACCTTGAAAGAACAATAATCAATTTTGTATGGAAAAACAAAAGACCCAGGATAGCCAAAACAACCCTGTTCAACAAGGCAATGTCCGGAGGCATCACCATCCCTGACCTCAAGCTCTATTACAGAGCTATAGTCCTGAAAACAGCTTGGTATTGGCACAAAAATAGACAGGTAGACCAATGGAATCTAATTGAAAACCCGGGTATTTAACCCACACACGTACGAACATCTGATCTTTGACAAAGAAGCTAAAAATATACAATGGGATAAAGAAAGCATCTTCAACAAATGGTGCTGGCATAATTGGAGACTGGCATGTAGAAGAATGCGGATCGATCCATGTTTATCGCCAGGCAATCTACTTTTTTGATGTAGATTGATACTGCCAGGAACAAATGTGTCTCACTGTCATGAAAATCTTTGTGTTATTAAAAAAATCTTAAATGCTATTTTCTGTGGCTCTTTGAAGTATGTGATGACTATGTTTCTAAAATATGTCCTTTTATGACCTTGAGAACATACCTAGTACGACTACAGGTTTGATTGCTATATATAACTAACTACTAACCTGTGTTTCTTAATTCTCCTAAATTGTTTATAACAATATCTTTCAAGGATAAGAACTTTACAATACATTTTTAAATTCAATAAACTATCCTTTTCCCCATCATTCCCATATTCCCTTTTACTTTTCAGAAAGAGATCCTTAATTTCAACCTTCCTTGATTTATTTCCTCTCTTATCATGACCAGTAACAATTTGCAACCAGTCATCCCCCCTAAGTGATGACAAACATCTAAAACCTGCCAAATGGCTAAAAACTACCCATTCATCTCTTGGGAATGTGGGCATCATATGCTCAAAATTATTTCCTGTTGGGGGGCAATGGCATCTCTAGGGGACCCTGAGAAATTAAAATAGTGGTCAAGTCCTGGAAGCCATGGTTGTATCAATTGTTTGACAGTCTCTGTGTAATGGGTAAGTTTAGGATTTATATGAAGTCCTGGCTGGAGTGGTGTGTGAGGTTTTACCATCTCAGGAAGCAGCTTTGAAACTGTTCTAGATGTAGAATTTTGAGGGAACTACAACAGAGGCATTTTGAGAAGCTGGATTACATGGGCTACTTGTTTACATTGGTATCTGGCCCTTCTGTTCTGAAAATACATAAACTTTTAAGGTAACATATGTATCTATATTAACACAAGTATGGAATATACACTGTGTATAAGTCAATTAAAGATGATTTTTTGTTTAATTTTTGAGCATGTAAAAGGCATCTGTTAATTTTGTAAGTTTGTTTGGACTATAAAACCAAACCTCTATCCATAAAAAGATGACATGTAATAATAATACATGAGAATTCTGTAGTCAATGAGATTCATCATGTCTCATACAGTCTCAGAACTTTTCCCATAATAGAGGGATCAGCATATACATTACCTATTCAGTTTTCTTTCTTGGTTGTTGTGTAATGTTATTTAAAGATGTGTTATATTCATTTATGCTGTGGAATATTTGTTCAATGATGCAAAGATATGTTGCAATCTTTATGTTGCATTTGTTTACTTCTGATAAGCCATGTTACTTTGTGTGTCTAAAGCACTTCGTTGGTCTAATAAAGAGCTCAATGGCCAATAGCAAAGCAGGAAAGAAAGAGAAAGTATAGGTGGGGCTGGCAGGCAGAGATAATAAGTAGGAGGAAATATATGGGAAGAGGGACTGAGGAATGAAAAAAGAAGTAGCCACACAGCCAGACATGGAATAATGGAATAAGAGAGAGAGAGAGAGAGAGAGAGACAGAGAGAGACAGAGAGAGACAGAGAGAGACAGAGAGAGACAGAGAGAGACAGAGAGACAGAGACAGAGACAGAGACAGAGAAGCAAAAGGCCAGAGGCAAAAAGCTAAATAGGATAATTTAAATTAAGGAAAACTGGCTAGATATTAGCCAAACTAAGGCCAAGCATTCATGAGTAATAATAAAACTCCATGTGCATTATTTGGGAACTGGGTGGCAGGCCCCCACAAGAGTCAAAAGTATCAAATAGTAAAAAGAAAATTAAATTTAAAAATATACCAACAACACTTGGTTTCCTTCTTTTTGTCTATGGCCAAGATTTTCAGAAGATCTCCCCCAATTCAAATTTGATCTTCATTAATTTTGAAGAGAGCCATAACTTTTTGTTTCCTGTGTAAACAAGGGCATAGCCTCTCCTCAAATTCAACATGTCTTTTGACTTTGATTTTAAAGACATTCTTAAAATATATAGCTTGGTTTAATTTAACAGTTTTCACAATCCAACATCTCTCAGGAGCTATTATTTTTGTACATTAGCATTTAAAATTCAAAGTCAACAAAGGACCATACATGATCCAGACCCCCTGTGTATTTTTTGTCTTTTTCATGGCTTATTCTTTTTTTATATTACTTTATTCTTTCTTTAAAGAATATTATTTTTAAATTATTCATTTTTTCTATTACTGTCTATTCACATTTTTTTTACTGTATCTGTTTCAGGATATGGAATACCTTACTGTGCTTGCAGCATTCTGACCAACTAAGACAGATCTTCAACTACCATGTCAGCAGTTTAGGTTAGCACATGGCATTGGCTGACTCAAGCCTGCAGAGAAGGGCCAGACATCTGCATGCTACTGCCCCCGGAGAGACTGTGGGAGTAACAAGCCCTGTCTGGCTCCATGTTTGTCTTTTCAGAAATTTTAAAAAGCTTTCCATGGTCCTCTACATTGGATACCAACAAAACATTTTCTTTTTTTTTTTCCAACAAAACATTTTCTTAAGATGACTAAAGCATGAATTATAAATAACACATTTTAGTAAATTTCTGGGCATTAAATATAGACAGATAGGGGTACAGATTTTTGTAACTCATACAGGGAAGATTTTAAATAAAGGAATCATTCAGCAAAATTTGTGAAAACCTCCATGAATTGCTGAGCAGAATTCAACATGCTTACAGAAGAATGGCAAGCGATTTGAACTGATAAGCCATAAATACCTTCCAAGCACTCATGCTACCAGCATCCTGCCAAGTACATTGCTACAGGACCTGCAGGGAGTGTTGCCTGCTCCTTTTGGTTTAAGCTGAGTTTGGGTCTTAGAGGTGGTAAGACTAAGGTTTCTTTTCTTGTAACTATAAACAGAGTGTCACATTCAAAGATCCACAGTCCTCTGGTGACATGCATTCCCCTTCAGCCTCCTTCAAGGTCTTGATTGGATAGCTTTGATTTTTGGGGCAGTTTTTATTTTTTGTTACAGTCCCTGTAACTGGATTGGAAACTAAGGGAATCAGGTGTTCGATACTTGTGACACATGCAATTTTCTTCTTTCATGTAAGGTAACAGGCACATTGTTTCTCTAATGTAAGTTATGGATATATTTGAGGCAGGACTATATTGTGCCTGCCTACCATAGCTAATATAACTTTAGCATACCTAGTTTAAACACATATGTAACCAGAAAATATCAATTAACTCAATTAAATAGAATTGAATAAAGAAAAAATCATACCAAATGGATAAAGATTAAAAATGAATTTAGTCATTGAAATGGTAAAGATTAAAACTCTGATAATGTTAAATATTTACTTGAAATGTGAAGTAACAAGTGTATTTATAAGCTATTGCTGGAAGTATACTTAGTATAACTAATACCAAAATAAATGAAGATGATTAAGTTCATACGTCAAGTAAAACCACTATATATGTATTACATTAGGTTTTTAATTATTGTGAAAAAATAACTACTATATCCTACTCAAGGTGACAGTGACATTTATTTTGGTCATAGTTTCATAGATTTCAGTATATAGATCTTAGATCCACTAAGGTCTGAGGTAAGGCAGACCATTGTGGAGCCAGGAGAATGTCAGAATGTATTTTCCCAGCATGATGGCAGAATCAGAACCATGAGCGGTAGGGAAGGGTAAGGAACAAGATGGCTCCCAGGGACACATCTTTAGTGAACCACTTTCTGCTGGTAGGCCTCGAGCACATGTTTCACCACTTCCCAATAATGTTCTAAAAGTATAAACCCATCAAGGGATTGATCCATTGATTAATTTAGAGCCCTGAAGTTCTAATCTCTTCCCAAGAGCTTATCAGGTCGCATCCAAAATGTGAGTCAATAAGGTTATCTCATGTATACACTGTATTGTGTGTGTGTGAGATGTGATTATATTCCTGTAGATATGCACTTAAATTATTTTAAAGTAAAGCATATGTTAAATTCACAATTTTAGGGGCAGTGCATATAATATATCTTTATTCAATGTGCTTTCATGTTTTTTAACATAGAACTATAAGATATGAGGTAAAAATGTACAAATGATAATTATTGTGAAAAGTGAGACATGGGCAATTTCTGTCTTACTGTTTATCTATCTACATAGATTTTTTTACATGTAAAGTAATTAATCATAAAATATCAAAAGGAGACTTGTTAAGATGATATAGTCATTCCCAACAAAGTACCTTTTCATTTTTAAATCAGGGATTGGTAACTTATGGGTAACAACACTGCCCCAGGACAGTTGATGTAACACATTTCCATTGGAAAACACCCAAGGCTAGTTTAATTTCTACTACTTTTCTGACAAAATGTCAGAGTCATCATTACAACAGAGACCATGTGTACAAACAGCCTAAATATTTACTATCTGACCCTTCTCCCCTTTTCCTTAGGAAATCTATGACATTAGAGTTAGCTACATATCTGCATTACATCCTATATATGTACACTGACTTAAGCAAGCAGAACCTGACAAATAAATGATCCTAGGTCCTGACTAAGAAGAAGTGTTCCTGACATGGAACCGCAGGTGCATCCTTGTACTCAATCATAGAAGGTCCTACTGCAAACGGAAGGACAACACTGAGTTGGACTTTTCATTTGATCTGAGCTACTTAATGAAATCACCCAACACAATATCCACACAGAGGCTTTACCTAATTTTTAAAGATATTTTCTGAAATTTAACATGATTGCTTCATTTTCACCCCTTTCCCCTCTACAAACCCTCCCACATACCCCCAACTGCTATCTTGAAAATTCATGGCTTTTTTTCTTTTATTGTTAAACATACACATGCACACACACACACACACACACACACACACACTCCTGAGTACAAAAATACAACCTGCTTAATCCATATAATATATAATGTTACTTGTATATGTATTTTATCATTTAGTATTGGATAACTAATTAGTGCGCTCTTCCCTGGAGAACATTATTTCACCTGCTATCCGTATTCCTTGCTTTCCTGTAGTTCTTTATCTTGGGATTATATCTCATGAATTTTTCCTCATTCTCCTTATCCTTGTTAGCATGTCTATTGATGCCACATTTGTTCTGTTTAGGCAGTCATGCTGATGAGATTTCATGGGAGTCGCTTTCCACAGGTCTATGGGACTCAGTCCTACAGAAAGCTTTCTGTTTCTTGATGTGGGATGAGAACTGCACTTACACATGAGTAGAAGGATCAATATTTAGAATGCAGTTTGGGATTGTGCTTGTTTAGTGGTGGTTATAGATTTTCCTCCAAGACCCATGAATTCACTAACCCTAGGTAGCTGACTAGGTTTCCAGTACCAGGCACGATTTTATACTTTCATATAATCCTTCATACTTATATTTCAAAGATTGGACTAGCGAAATAATTTTTCCATAGAAACTGGTGTCTTTCTTTGCCTAATATAGGACACAGAATACTAGATTCTTTACTTCTCAATTTCAATGAGGATAGTAGTCACTTGCAAAGAGAAAACATTTCTCTGGTACCTTTTTGGCACTCTAGAAGTAGTGTTCCTATGATTTGAAACTGAAAGAGTTCTTTGACTTTATTCATCCAGTTTTTTTCCTCCTCAGTGTTTAGAACTGATGTTAGATGTACATTGTTTTATTTGCACAACATACCCCTGTTGATGAACCTGCTACTCTCTGATGTGTGGCAGATAGTGCAAAATCTTATTTTTCTCATGAAAATTATTTTTGGGCTTCCTTCCCGACTTTCTTAAAATCTTGTTTCTCTTCACTTTCCTTAATCTATTATATATATACATATATATACATATATATATATTTCCTGTAATTTGGACATTAACTTAAAATTGCCCTTCTAGCATCTCTAAAATTAGATTGAGCCTGGATAAAGGGGAAATCTGTTTATATGGACAGATAGGTGTATGGGAGACATTTTTTACTCATTGTGTCAAAATATATCTCAACTTCTTAAATAAGATCATAAACATGTATGATCTGACAAGTAATTTAATATGTCCAGGTTTTCTGAGCATGGTAGATAAACTAGTCAAATATTTCAGCTGTTTCAGTGCAGGTACTTAAATATTAGATTTACATTTAACCTGGTATATTTTTAATAAATCACATTGCCTTCACACATTATGTATATTGTTGGGGTCACTGGTCAGTACAACAGAACACAAACCTGATCTCATTGAAGCAAAACAAATCCTAATACAGACAGCCTAAAGAGGACATACAGCGTTGACTCTTTCCTGAGGGTGATGGTCTAAATAATTTCACCTTCCTCTCCCAATGCATGCACTATAATATACAATCCATATGATGACTCACCTCAAGGTAATGGCATTAGGAATTAGATATTACCTAATTGGAATTATTAAGCCATGATGATAAGTATTCATGAAAAGGATCAGGACCTTTCCAAAAGAGATCCTTGTGAATTATTAGCTGGATCATATGAAGAAAGTGCCACTTATGAACCAGAAAATGGACTCACAAGACAGAGTATCTCCTTTGATCTTGGACTGCTCAGAAAAAGAAAAGATGACTCAGGATAGATCCATGATCCCAGAGAGAAATGCTCAGACCAGGATATGACATTTGAAGCCAGAAACTGCACTCTGTCCTAATAATGAAAGTCTTAACATGAACCTGAATATAGTTCAGTCTCGCATGCACCTCTCATTTCCACACTTTTATAGGAATTTCTACTCGGATAGATAGCCTAAACCTGCCTCATCATCCCATGTTAGTTTTGTGTATTTAAGTGAAATTGTCTTGGCAAACAGCACTTACTGCTTTTGCTTAAAACTTTTCAGAATAAGAAGCTCAGAACGTAAGAGATTTTCTGTGTGGTAACCCTACACATACTTCCATCCAACCAGATGTGAGAATATGATTAGCACACTGCAATTGGATAGGAATGAGCCTTGGAGGTATTTGGTTGTGTGTGGGAGACATTCACATGCAGGGCAGATTTTATTTCTGGGAAGAGAGAGAACAGTAGTCACCAGGTTTTAATTTAGTTGCCATTAATGAAGTGTCCTGAAATTCAGATTATTTTATGGTCCTACCTATGTTTAAACTGAGGTAGTCTCTGTGACAGGAAGCATAGCTTAAAAAAGATGGTGCATCACTTCTGAGACAGATCGAAAGTGACAGCACGGCTTTCATTTTGGTGGTGGGAGCTTTCCTTTTCTATCTTCCTCCCTCTTTCCCTTCTTCTCTGATTACCTCATATCATTTACTCTGAAGATAGCCAGCTGTTCTGTCATAAGAAACTTAACACAGAGACCTTAGTATT